GTCGCGTCTCTGGTGGGGAAAATCTGTATGCAGGATGGTCTATGTATTCCAGCAGGAAACGAAAGTGTCTTCGTGCCTCGTGGCGGAACAGCATCTCTGCGATGAACAAAGAGCGGAGCCCAACGAGCACATAGTTCACAGAAGCTTTCACACAACTGTTGAGGTCTCACTAGTGGGAAGCCAGTGTGCGATGAGGCATCAGCTTCTCTTGGTCAGTGTTTGAAAATGCTTGCATCGTGTTTGTCAATCCAAGGATAGGGTAGTCCTCTGTATGCCGAAGGGGAGCTTCAATGCCTGAACCCACTAAATTGACTGAGCTGCTTTGTCGGTCAGTTGACCCTTCCGTATTAACTCGGTATTCGATGTCGTATTGCCGTTTGGTCTCCAATTTCCTGTTGCTTCTGATGTACGAAGTGACCGCAACGACGGAGGAAGCACCTTCGGTATCAGTTTTGTCCAAGCATCCTTATATCCAAGTTTTTGCTGAGGAATTAGTCGCCACTGCGCCATCGGAGAATCTATTCCTGTGCCCGATGAATGTAACAGATGGTGTGAACTTAACGTCCTGGCCGTCAAAGGAGGTTATTATCAACGGTACACTTTGTATGGATTATGATGAGCTCATGGAGCTCAAGGGTAGAGGAGATTTTTTGAAGTGTCTAACGGAGGTGATCAACGTCACCACACATGCATTGGACAGGTTGGGTGTCGATGCGACCATCATCGATGGTACCCTATTAGGTTGGCAACGACACGATGAGAATCATATACCCTGGGATGTCGACGGCGATCTCCTCATCATGCAGAGTCATTGTCGGAAGGCCTTCTCTACCCACGCCACCATCCATCATAAGAACATGGCATCCCTTCTACAGGAGTATCTACCCGATGATTCGCGCTATCGTGTGGCTGGTATCTTCTATGGCGACGGATCTGAATTGGAGGCTGATGAGTGGGAAGGCTGTGACCCCCGTGAGATCCGCGTCGTTCTCCGATATGGGCATGTGGACTGCCACGCCGACGTATTCCAGATGCTGCAATCGAATCACACCGGTGGTCAGGAGTGCGCATCGTGCCCAGGCTACGATGAAGGCCAGGTTACCGTTTGCCGAGAACGAGATGATTCATGTGCTTTGTATGACGACTTCTTCCCAATGAGATGGGATAAGCTGGACGATGATGATGTCAAGGTCCCTCATCGAGTCCACGCTGCACTGGAATCGTATTTCGGTAGGTTGCCTTACGCGCTTCTTAATCTTAAGGAAATCCCCATAAAATACGAGTTCGGCCATACCCGGTTGGTAGT